CCAACTGCACCCAGTTTGGACTCCGGCGGGAACCCCTGATCCAACATGGGCTTCCAACTAACCAACCAGTACCCGTCGAAGATGTTGTAATTCAGAAACTTTGTCCTCCATTTCGCTGCAATGCTTCCCAACGCGCCAGTACAGCGTTCTTACGCAACTGCCTTTGTGACTGATCGGGCGGTTGCTGTAGACGTTCAGTACTTCCATAGTGTCGGCCGCTGATTAAGGGTCCAAAACAGACTCCAAAACGTCAGGCAAATAAACTTCTAGCGCCAGCTATTGCATCTTCTACTTCTGAGTTGCTTCCTAGAACTCGCTTGTTCTCTTCAATCAACTCCAGTTATTTTTACGACACTGTAAATGCATCCAAGTAGAGCATGGCGTTACAGTCCCCGATTTCCATCATGTCGAAATAACCCTGCTTGGAAATATCTTAAGGGTGCCCAACCCAGCCTTCACAATACACTCGTCGGTACACGGTCGAAACTGTCAGAGATGTAAACGTGCGGCTCAGTGGTTTCACAGCATGAACCATCCTTCCCACGCTAGGAGGTCTCGGAACTGTGGCCTGTTTTGTGTATTTCTGTTGTTATTTTCTCTCGAAGGACAACAATCGAACCACCACATGCTACTGGCGTGCAGCATAGCCTACTGTCTACGGAAGTGTCTAGGCTCTAGCCGTGTGGCTTAGTTCAAAGTTATAAGCAAGTCATAAAGTGAAACCTGGGAGGATGGTAAGTACGACTGTCTTTGAGCAGTGATCAAACGAAGATAAATCGATGAGCACAGAACGTGGGAGTGCACTGGTTCACAGTGTCGTGATCTCTGTAACCGAGCAAAAGCGCCCGCCCCAAGTAGCGGCGTGCATTTCGCGCAAAAGTACACATTTGCCTCTTAGCTGTCTATCAAAGAATACGAATTTCTCGGATAGATCATCCGCCGCTGACCTACCTTTGTTAATATTTCCGATCGGAACAAACAGGATGACGAGTCCGCCGCTCAGTGGCTAGAGCGTTGGACTTCCAGACAATGGGTCTTGGTTTTTCTCTTTTAAGTGTTGTAAACCGCGGGATTTGGCCTGGGTGACTGATGACGGCTAATAAACCAGAAATAGGCATTTTAGTATCCTTTTTCGGCGATGTCCTTCTACCCACTAATCTAGATGCCGCACAAGCAATGGAATATTGTATAAGTGACGAAGAATGAATGCAAGGCTGCTTGGGATGATTCGAGGGCTTAAAGTTTAATCGGAAACTGAAAAGCACACAATCTCATACTGAGCATCGTTAACTGGTTTATATGCCTAATATAAGTCCAACAAAAAATGAAGATGTAGTTTTCAAGATGCACAGGGCAGACGTTTTATTTTCCCTCAAAGAATATGACACAGTTCGGGCATGTGTAAAAAAGTATAAATGCCAGTTGTGCAGAAAAGATAAAGACGATGGTCGAATAGAATTCATCTAGCTTACTTCGACAGATTGCCCACGCAGAGCTTTGAAACACTCCAGGCTACAAAGCGGTTTACCAGTTTTGGGGCAAGCATAGCGTCGAGGGCGAAGACAACACTGGGAACACAAACTACGCACAGGTTCTGGTGGGGCTATGAGGTGAGGGAAGGCGAGGGAGATTTCGATGGTGGGAGGCAACGCCAGCACTGTAGTGTCTGGAGAGAAGCGCTCCGAGGAGATCAGGCGAATGTAACCGGCGGGCGGGTCCAATGTGGCGGAGGGATGGAGGGCATTCTTGGGTGGAGCAACAGCGACGGTATTTGAGTCAGGAAACTGCTCAGAATCTTCGCTGTCCGAAGAGGCTGCGACAGGGGTTTCCGCTGTTTTTCGCCTTCGACCACGTCCGCGACCCTTACCTGGGGCCCCACTGTAGTTCGTATTGATCTAGACACCAAAATGAGAGTGGTGATGGGAGGCTTTTGGGAACAGGATAGGAGCCCAGCTACGCTAGATGACAAGTGAATAAGGTTTCGACGATCATTTCCCAAGTTCTATATACAGAAGTTCTGGCAGCAATAACATCGGAATTTGTCAGTTATTGATCCTGCAAATTTTTGACTACGGTGCGGCG